ACACTTTCCTATCTTCATTTTGATATATTATGGGTCGAATTTGGTTAAGAAACGATTGAGTTACAAAGCTTTGAAAATTGCCCAAAGAGTTTTTAACGGAATGACCAAAATCATGAATGGTGGACAATCTCAGGGACCATTTCTATTAATTTTCAACCTCAGGGACAATTTCTATTGATCATGCAAATCTCAGAGACTATTTTGTATAATAACCCGATTAAATATTAAAATAGGGAGCTGACGGGATTCGAACCTATGTCGTGGTACAAGGGCAACATTTATCTCCACCACTGTGGTAAAAAGTCACTTGCTAAAGTGAAATTATATGAATTAAAATAAAATTTTCCAACACCACTTAGTACTACAATCTAGTGGTATTCCTCTTCACTTGTAAGTGAGAGGTCTTAGATTCGATTCTTGCCAAAGATGAATTTGAGCCACATTACTGCTAGCCCCATTGTGAGGTTTAGCACATTCATCCACCCTTTAGTGTACATAAATGCAAAAGAAAAGAGTAAATTGTAGCAATGGTCCCTAAACTTTAATCAAATTAGATCAATGGTCTCTCAACTAAAAATCAATTACCATTGGTTCTTTAACTCATCAAAACGTGTAGATGGTCATTTTCGTCAACTTTATCAAAATTTTGTTAAAATGAGTTACGTTTGAAAGACCATTGCTACAATTGGGTTAAACTTGAGGGATCATTTCTCCAATTGGGTTAAAATTGGGGGACCATTTCTCCAGTTGAATTAAAGTTGAGGAACCATTGGTAATGAATTTTTAGTTGAGGGATCATAGTTGCACATTTTGATAAGTTGAGGGACCAATGGTAATGAATTTTTAGTTAAGAGACCATTGTTCCAATTGAGTTAAAATTGATGGACCTATACTACAATTTACCAGGGTTGGGCACGAGCTGGGTCGGGCCCAATTTTGGAGGTACCGGGCCTTACCCGTTTTAAACAGTAACCCAAGGGGACGAGGGATTTTGAGTTTTGAAACCGAACCTAACCCGGCCCGTTTGATTCGAGACGGGTCCATGGGTCCAACTCTTATATATATATAATTTTTATAAACTGCAGTGCACGACAGCACTGCAGCAGCATAGGTATTGTTTCACTACATGGAAGTTAGTGACGTAGAGCTCATTCACATCAAACCCTTTTACCTACAGAATACGAAAACAGCTTAGTTTGCATTCAATGCTAATATAAAACATCAAGCAAAGAGGCGAAAGCCAAGCCAACAAACGAGAAGCATTTACCTCAGCATTACTCTCAGCATTCTCAAGCAAATCAAGAATGAAATTAGCAGACTTAACCGGCCAATGTCCCTGACCATTGGACTAGCGGTTCTTCAACTGAAGAAAACTATGAGCAGAGTCGTGCACCACAAATATGGGTCTAAGTCAGACGGATGAGATGACTAATTCATCGTTTCGAGTTGTTCGACTTCGTCGTTCATCCATTTGAGTTCGTCAAAGAGAAAGAGACTGATTTCTAGAGAGTGAGTTAGGAAGAGAGATCAAGGCCTGATGATGATGGCAACGGACGGAGCGAGGAAGACAAAAGCGAATCAGGATGAGAGATTGAGGTCTGATGAAGATGGTGGCGGCGTACGGAGCTGGGACGGTGGGAGCAGGGGCGGATCTATTAAGGGACCAGGGTGGTCCTGGGACCACCCGAAGCTCGAAAAAATGGCTGTGAGGATCTTCAAGGACCACCCAAGTCTGGGCAGTGATGGAGAAGAACAGCAGCCATGGCTACTCTGGTCGCTGTGCATTTTAGAATGAGGAAGAAGAAAGCCAAATTTTTTTTTTTAAATGACTTGGCCAAAACGACGTCGTTTTGAGCCAAGTCATTAAAAAAAATTAAAACCTCACTGCTCACTCACGCGAGAACCCTCAGACTCAGCTTCTTCACACAACAATCAGAACTTCACTTTACCAAGTCGTTCAACTCTCTTCGTTCTCGTTACCAAATCCTTCACACAACAAGGTCCGCTCTCGTTCCTTACGGTGTCGGCATCGATCAACTCTCTTCTGCACTGCACTCTAGTTTCTGAATCTGATATTGTAATTTTGATTGCACTGCACTCTAGTTTCTGAATTTGAATTTGAATCTGATTGCTTGCACTGCACAGCAATCAGAACTTCACTCTCTTCTCGCTCTCGTTCCTTCAGGTTTGTACTTTACTACTCTGCTCTATTTAACTCTGTCCATTAAATGATTTTTCCATCCACTATCTGAATCTGATATTAAATTATTTGTGTTTGTGGTGTTAGATATTTAAATAATTTTACTCCACCATTTACAGTCGGATATTGCCTTATTATATTTCTAATTGCCTTATTATTATCTGTTAGTTGTCTCTCTCTCTCTAAAAATTTGTAATTTTGGTTGCTTTTGTGAAATGGGTATTAGATGAAAACTATGAAATGCAAATTATTTGATCACATTCTTAAAGTTTCAAATTGAAAGAGTTTATAGGATGATTTTGTTGTTTTCGACTGAAGTTTCAGTATGTTAATTGGTATTTTGAAGTGTTGAAAGGCTATAATGTTGTGCAATCAATTACTTGGTTTAAGCAGCTATTTCGTTTTCCATTGTTGGTCAATCCTTCTGTTTAATTTCTGCAGATTAAAAACGGAGATGTGCGAAATTTGGCAAACACTGAGTTTCTTCTAATGAAGAAGGATTGGTCTTCTGAAATTCAGGTATGTGATTGATCACAAAGAGTGTTCTAGATTGATTTTGTTTGGATTTAAATGTTCTTCTGAATGGTCTTCAAATTGTTTAATGAAGATTTGAATTTTGCTGTGTCATAGGATGATGAAAGTTTCAAATTGAAGTGTTGAAGGCTATAATGTTGTGCAATCAATTACTTGGTTTAAGCAGCTATTTCGTTTTCCATTGTTGGTCAATCCTTCTGTTTAATTTCTGCAGATTAAAAACGGAGATGTGCGAAATTTGGCAAACACTGAGTTTCTTCTAATGAAGAAGGATTGGTCTTCTGAAATTCAGGTATGTGATTGATCACAAAGAGTGTTCTTTATACATATTTCTATTTGATTTGTAGCTATTTTAAAATTTCCGTTTGATCCAAAGGCCATTGTCAGAAGGTCAAATTTGAAATGCAAGGTTTATTAGGAACTAAAACTTAACTGTGTCAATTATTCTTTTATTTTCTTCAATAATGTAATGAGGTTGTATCGTATGTATTTTACTATTTAAGTGGTCTAATTGGACTGTTAAAGATGGTAATTGGTTGATTTGATAATATGGTTTGATCAAGAGGACTAGGGATTGGTTTCCTTTAACATCCAACTGCCCTGGTAGTGTAAATTATTTTGAACTTGATAGCATACTTAAGTTTTGTTATCACTGCCTTATTGGGATCATAATAAAGGAATAAGGGCAGGGTTCATGTACAAGCATAGTGTTCATTAGGCAGAAATTGTCTAGAAAAGGGTGTGTAATGTGTTGGCTATATGTATTGTGAATTGGAGAGTCCAACTAGTTTGTGATGCTAAAATGGTGTGTAAAAATATGTGCTTTCTTTCGATATTGTTTCCATGCTTGTTTTCTGAACTTGAGGTGGTAGTGGAATTGCAGGGACTATTTCATAGAGTATAGTGAGTTGATCAAGCTGCAGCCTTTGGAAGGCATAAACTATATATTCTACAATCTGTACGTTTCTCACAAGTGCAAGGTATGTTTTCGTTCACCTCTCTAGCATTGCCTTTGTGTCTGCATTTTTGCTATATGCATCTCTAGCATTGCCATAGTGTTCATATAATATTTGTTTAGTTTCATCAATTGATATAGATTTTTTTATTAATTGATATGTGTAGAAATTAGAAGTATGGAACAATATTACAAGCGAAAATCATCATCAATTAGTTCGGACAATCATATTCCAAATAGTTCATCTCCAAACTTGGATAGTTCCAGTCCTATTCCGAACAGTTCCCCTCCAATTCCATGTAGTTCTAATCAAATTGGGGGTAATTCCACTCCACAACAAAATGAGTTAAAAGTTGATTTGGATAATCTTGAGAGAGATCCCGGAAAGAGAATTCCAATGAAGGATTATCCTCCAGATATTCGAGATGAGGTCCGAATAGCATATATATTAATGGAGCCTTTTAGAGCTAAAGATCATGATTTTCCATTCACTTTGCATTCGAATAAAAAACAACGGTTGTTGATAATTGGTTGAAGGAATTTCATTGGTTGGAATATAGTATATCTAAAGATGCTGCATTTTGCTTTTATTGCTATCTATTCAAATCAACTTTGAACAATCAGGCAGTGACGTCTTTACTGAGGTAGGCTTTCAAAATTGGAAGCATGCAAGAGCCTGTTTTGAAAAACATGTGGGAATGGTTGGTAGCTTTCACAATAAAGTTGTTGAAGCTGCTGGTAATCTAATGAATCAAAATACACATATTGAAACAGTTTTGGTCAAACAGTCAGAAGAAGCTCGTATGGCTTATCACACTTGCTTGAATGCATCAATTGATTGCACTAAGTTTTTGTTGCGACAAGGTCTTTCATTTCGTGGTCATGATGAAAGTGACACTTCAAACAATAGAGGTAACTATTTGGAGCTCTTGCAATTCCTTGCGGATCATGATGAGAAAATAAAGGCTGTTGTGTTAGATAAAGCTCTGGGAAATCTCAAACTAATAGCTCCTTCAATACAAAAATATCTTGTTCATTCATGTTCTATTGACACCATTAAGTGATATGAAGAATGCTAGGTTCTTTTCTCTATTGGTTGATGAGGCACGTGATGGTTCTATAAAGGAGCAAATGGCGGTGGTTTTGCGTTATGTGGACAAAAATGGGAAAGTCATTGAAAGGTTTGTAGGAGTTCAACATGTTCCCGACACCACTTCAAACACATTAAAGGAGTCTATTGATGCCTTCTTTCATTTCAATGAGTTAAGCTTCTCCAATTTATGAGGGCAAGGTTACGATGGTGCTAGTAATATGAAATGTGAGTTCAATGGACTCAAGACAAAGATTTTGAATGATCAACCTTGTGCATTCTATGTTCATTGCTTTGCTCATCAACTCCAATTAGCTCTTGTTGTTGTAGCAAAGAATAATGTTGATGTTAACACATTCTTTCTATTGGCTAATAATGTGGTAAATAATATTGGAGCTTCATGTAAGCGTCGTGATGCACTTAGAGAGATGAAACAAAAAGAACTTATGAAAGCTCTTGAAAATGATTCTCTTATGACGGGACGAGGCTTAAATCAAGAAACTAGTCTCAAACGTGCCGGAGCTACAAGATGGAATTCACATTATGGTACTTTGATTAGTTTGATTACTATGTTCTCATCTGTGGTCAATATGCTTGAAATGATTGTTGATGATAATACCAATGATAGTGTGGCAGAAGCAAATAGGTTATTGAAAGACATACAATCTTTGGAGTTTGTGTTTCTCTTATTTTTTATGAAATCTATATTGAGAATCACGAATGATTTATCACAAGTATTACAAAGGGATGATCAAGAAATTATGAATGCAATGGCTTTAGTCAACACAAGTAAAGTACAACTACTCTATATGAGGAATGATGAGGGGTTTGACCTTTTGGTTGACAAAGTATTGTCATTTTGTGTCCAACATCATATTGAGGTTATTAACATGGATGAGACATATGTAGCTCATGGGAGGTTGCGCCGTAATACCCACAAAAAGACCAACCGTCATCGTTACAAAGTGGAGCTCTTTTCTGTTGTCATTGATTCCCAACTTACAGAGTTAAATGATCGCTTCAATGAAACAATTACCGAATTGCTCATTTGTTTGGCTAGTTTGAGTCCAAATGATTCTTTTGCAGCTTTTGACAAAGAAAAGCTACTTCGCCTTGCTCAATTGTACCCTTAAGATTTTACGAAGCAAGACCTATTGGCACTTGAAGATCAACTCGATATTTATATTCATTTTATGCGTTCGAGAAGTGACTTTTCTCAGTTGCAAAGCATTAGTGATCTTGCAAAGAAAATGGTGGAAACAAGGTTGCATCGAGTATTTCAAAATGTGTATTTACTTATTGAATTGGCTTTGGTTTTACTTGTTGCAACTGCTTCAGTGGAGAGAGCATTTTCTGCCATGAATATCATTAAGAGTCCACTCCGCAATAGAATAGGGGATCAATGGTTAAATGATAGCTTAGTTGTTTATATTGAGAAAGATGTTTTTTCTTGTATTGACAATAAAACTATCATGACACGTTTTCAAAGTATGAGATCCCGTCGTGAACAAATTTAGTATTTCTAGCTTGTTTAGCACAAAAATTATTAATGAAATTTGTAGTTTGCCATTTATTTGTTCAATGATATTTTCGTCTTTTTTTTTTTTGGAACTTTTATATTGGGACTACCCTTTTGGAACTTTTATATTGGGACTACCCTAAGTTAAAATCCTGGATCCGCCAATGGGTGTAATGAGAGGAGTTAGGATGAGAGATCGAGAAGACTTGGATGAGGAAAAAATTTCAATTCTATTATTCCATGCTAGAAATGGGCCAGGCTGGGGGCATGTTCCCTCCTATTTTAAGATCTGCCACACCCTGCTAATTTTGTATACCTGAACCACCTCCCCCCCCCCCCCGGTGGTTCCGTTTTGTGTTTAAAAATTTTGGACCAGCCCCGTATACGCCCCAAACAGTGGGTACCCACGAATCCAGGACCGTTTGCCTACCCCTACAATTTACTCCAAAAGAAAATGACCCTTGAAATCTTGAAGAAATGAAAGTAGTAAAGAAGGAGGCGCGAGCTCAGGAGAGGACCAAGTTAGACGCGCGCGCACCATAACCCAACTCAGAACTATAAAATCGGGGTAGTCCAACAGCTTCAATTCTCCAGACTTCGGTCTTCGGTCTTCCGGAACGCAAAATTTGGGCGATTCATTCAAAAAAAATCTACTGGTACGCCTCCCTCCATCCTTCAATTCCAATTAAATCCCATCCTCTCTCCTCTCCCTCTCTAAAAAAGCACCTTCATTTTGATTTGATTGGAATCATTGAATCCGAGTAAATTTTCTATGCTTCAAAAGTTGAAATTTTTGAAAATGGTGCAGGATTTGGGTAAATTAATCGGTTGTTGTTGGTGAAAATCGCGGTAAAAAATGGGAGTGAAACAAGCGTTAAAGAGCCTGGATGCGTTTCCTCGGGCGGAGGAGCACTTGCTGCAGAAACACAATCGGGGGCACTCGGTAATTCTCTCCAGATTTTCGTTTTTGTTTTGTATTTTTTGTGAATTGTGTTTTGGATGGTTGGGTTTTTTGTGAATTGTGTTTTGGATTGGAAATTTATTGTTTTTTTTATTTTGTAGTTTCTGTTGTTGGGCTGCTTATAATGGCGACATTGTTTGTGCACGAGCTGAGATATTATCTCACTACATATACCGTCCATCAGGTTCGAATTTCGAATGCATTGCTTTCGTTTTCGGGGGATTTTGTTAGGTGAATAAGTGGGTAATGAATTGAAAGAAATGCCATTGCCATGGGATTGTAAGTTGTCTAATTGAAAAGGGTTGTATTTTTTGGCAGATGTCTGCAGACTTGAAGCGCGGAGAGACTCTTCCGATTCACATAAATATGACATTTCCAGCTTTACCTTGTGATGGTTAGCATGTTTTTTTTTTCTCTTGCTATTTAAGTGAATGCCGATTTCTTTGTAGGTTAATATGTTCATCATTTGGTAGCTTTGTGTGATGATAATCTTCGGCTTTCAACGTTGATTGCAGTCTTGAGTGTTGATGCAATCGATATGTCAGGCAAGCATGAAGTAGATCTTGACACAAACATATGGAAAGTAAGAGACTTTATTGATTCTTATGTATTTTCCTTTTCTTGATATTGGGGTGCAATGTAATATGGTGTTTCATGTCAAAAAGTAAAGAACTGCATTTGTACAATGATAAAAAAAGTGTTATATCTGTTTAAACTTTTATGAATGCATTACAAAGGTTTTGGCTTCTAAGTTTTATCCTCACGTTTGTCATACACATGCTGCACATTGTTTGCTAGGTACCAATTTAACTGTTCAAGTATGAGACAAGCAAACATAATTCGTTTAACCTGCACCACTTCATATGGGATTCTTTGGATCTTCCTTTACTTAGTGCTTTCTCAAGCTTTTTTTGTGGTGATTCTTTGCTGGGCCATCATTGGTTTTAGGCTTTTCGAAAAGTTGGTAGTGATGACTATTTTTGTTCTTTCCCTTGATCCACTGGCTTAAATTTTGACTATAATCTCATAGCTATTAGACTACCTTTACCCATGCATTTATATTGTAAGATTTAGTTTTTAAAATTGGCAACTTGTGATCTGTCTCTGTCCTTCCCTTCTCTCATGGTTATTCTCCTAACCAGTTTAGAGTGGCTGCAGCTTCGCCTGAACAGTCATGGACACATCATCGGCACTGAATATGTGTCTGACCTTGTGGAAAAGGAGCATTCTCACAAGCACGGTAACGTCTGTGTTGCATTACATATCACATTTTGTTTTGATTGTATGTCTTGCTTTTTAGATTTTTGTTTTCTGATAAAGAACCTTGGCCAGATGACGGCAAAGATCATCACGACGATAAGGACAAGGAAGTTCATCCAGAAGGAGCTTTTGATCAAGCTGCAGAAGATCTTATCAAGAGGGTAAAGCATGCAATAGCAAATGGAGAAGGATGCCGGGTATATTCATAACACAGATCTTCATTTTTTGTACTAATGAACTGCACTTGCTCCTTCTGATATTGCATATATCTGATATAAAATTTTGCTGCAGGTTTTTGGTGTTTTAGATGTCCAAAGGGTTGCTGGAAACTTTCATATATCAGTTCATGGGTTAAACATTTTTGCTGCGCAAATGGTTAGTTTGCCTTATTATCTTGTTTTCTTCTCCCTCCAATTTCTTTCCATTTTGTGATTCCATGTGTTCTAGAACACGCAAAGTGCTGTGCCTGGTCTGAAGTACTTATGGTTGATACAAATTATCGTCCCCTGAATGAAAATTTTGATAAAATTTGGTTTTTGGCATTTTGAACTGCCAAACCATAGGATCGGTTCATTTTGACTAGATAAACTCTTGTTTAAATCCTATTAGATATCTTTAATCTTTTTTTTTCAACTTTTTGGGTTTCGAAATGATATGGGGAATTGGGGATTGAAGGTGCTTGAGTAAACTTATCCGTCTCACTTGTTGTATCATGGGGGTGCTTTGTGGATCAGTATTGTGCCAACTAGCTTTTTTTACTATAGCATATCTTTAAAGCTTGCTGACTCTAGTTTATTACAGCTTCCAACTTACTGTTTCTGTGCAGATTTTTGAAGGATCTAGAAATGTAAATGTAAGCCACATCATACATGACTTGTCGTTTGGCCCAAAATATCCAGGAATTCACAACCCACTTGATGGGACAGACCGAATTTTGCATGACACAAGTGGCACTTTCAAATATTATATAAAGGTTTGAATACTTGAACTTCTTCTGGGTTAATATACAGCTATTTGGTAGATTTAAATATCTGGAATCTGCAATATACGCTGGCCTATTTCATGCACGTCTGTGCAGGAATGCTTGCTTCTTTCTTTTTTTTCGCCCAATCAGGACTGCTTGCTTGAGTCTAAGTCTTAAAATGAACGCTATTTTTTCTCTCCCTTCTGTTACTTCTGGAAGATAAAGTAGATGTCCCATATTTTAACTCAGATAGGAGAGATTCAAAGCAAGAAAGTTTCCCGGCTAGGAAGAGACTTGCATCCAAAAAGGCATACTAGCCAAGAACTTGTCTTTCCCATCAAGAATTTATACTGTTTCTTTCATTAAGTGGTCTGCAATACTTTGCTAATACCGAAATAAGTCGAGTAATGGTATTCATTACCTTTTTCTCGAATTAATAATTATGTCTGCGTTCAGAAATGGATACCTGAATTGATTTTATCACAATAATTATACCTAACGTCTATAAGAAAGTTGTACACTTCCCGGGTCTGTATCCTGTCAGTTCTTCTGCCTCAACGTCGAGGCATGACATACGTACCGCTTACCTTTAGAATAAAAAAGTCAATCAACCTCATGTGTCAATGTCATTACCAACCAAATATTAGTTATTTGATTTGATTTGCTTTTTGTATTGTTAATTGGTTAGTTCCTTATCAAAGTATAATGGAGTTTTGCTTCATTTGTCAGTAGGCGTTTTGATATAGTTCAGCACCACAAGTCGTGAACGTGAAGAGGATTCAGAAGATTCATTTTTTGAAATATTAAGCATCTGTCTTCAAACTAATGTTTTCAAACGATCCAATTGCTAGGAAAAGAAAACCAGAAGGATTTGTTTCATGTTCTGATATATTCTTTATAGACGGTTTTCGTGAATAAATTAGCAAGCTTGATGATCTATGCTGAAAATGTTTCCTTTCATTGCTGTGCAGATTGTTCCAACTGAATATAGGTATATCTCAAAAGAAGTTTTGCCAACCAATCAATTCTCTGTCACAGAATATTTCTCTCCTATGAAGCAGTTTGATAGGACATGGCCAGGTAGGTTTATAAGAAGTTTATTTGTCTGTCCCTTTTATTGAGTTCATGGTGTTAAATATCGACCCTGTTTGTTTGTGTCCAGCTGTATACTTCTTGTATGATCTCTCACCAATTACTGTAACTATCAAAGAAGAACGCCGCAGTTTTCTCCATTTCATCACTCGGCTTTGTGCTGTATTGGGTGGTACCTTTGCGTTGACAGGTTTGTGTTTTTCGCTCATTCTGTATCATTTTATTTAAGTCAACATTATCAAAATAAACGTGGATTTGGAACTTCCGTTTCTGTTTATTGAAGTTCCAACTAATCGATCTGCTATATGTCAGAGTCTAGGCCATCAAAGTTGAAACT